CAGTCCCCCTTTGGTGGCCCTGGCCTCTTTCACAGTGCCTGGATCTGTGATACATTCCATATACATATTCCTTATGTATATACATCTGTATGTATGTACGTGTGTGTGTGTGTGTGTGTGTGTGTGTATGTATATGTAGGGTACAGCTATGTAGGCTGTAGGTTTATATACCTCGACTTGTCACCTGCACAGAGCTGTTAAAACCTCTCTACATTTCAAACAAATATGAAAGTTAAACACGGTAATAATTAGGGAATTCAGCTAAGCCTCAATCGACTTTCTATTTAATTTAACAGGTGTATCCCTCCTAGTTCGTCTGGCATCCAGACTATGTATATCTATATTTACAGTGGTGAGGTTGTGGCAGAAAACACAATGCTTATGTCAGAAATGCTGTAATCATAGGAACTTTAAATATTAACAACACCTAACAAACTGAAGAGCTTCAGAGGTACTGATGCGTCCAACTTACAAAAGGCTTTCCCAGTCACCAGAGTGACAGAAAATTAGGAACTGAACACAAAAAAAGGGTAAAGGCATTATCACAACTCTACAACAAGGAAATATTGGGGTTTATCATTACTGAAGCTAAATTCTGGAGAAACTAAATGCCATCAAGGAGCAGTTTCACCAGAGCTGTTTTTGTCTTGTCTTCCCATTTCAGAGAATAGGTCATAGCTGATACAGTCAAGTCACCAATGTCTTTTTATTTTTGCCAGTCCTGAGTGAGGGGACAGTAACATGGTCATATGAAGCAGAGAGTCTGTGCTGGTTTAAAAGTAAACCAGCTGGAGAAATGAACCCAAGAGAGTTTACAAATCAGACTTACAATTTACTAAAAAAGATTACAATAAACACAATGATACAGAGAAAAACTGGTTTTAATTCACAAAAGCAGACAAATAACCCAGCACCCTGGGACCAGAACAGAACAGTGCTTCTTGGTCCCCATGCTGAGCAACACGTGGTGAAGGAAAACGAAAAGGAAACCTGTTGGTCTGGATGATATTTGCAGTTCTGTGGAAGTTCTGGTCCTTCTCTGGATATGACAAGTGGTACCAGCATTTCAAAAGCCCAAAGCCTATCTATGCTCAAGTTCAGGTGGGAATGCCCAGTTTCAAAATGAGTGATTTAACTCTGTGAGTCATGGGATATTTTTGAGATCTTTGATGGTCTGAGTGTTGCAGCTGCCTATTATGCCAGCCCATTGTGGCCCATTAGCAGAGATGATCCCTCAGGTTGGATATGAAGGTGTTAATGCCGGCCAGGAGCTGAGTCACTGTGTGAAAACAAAGAACACTCCCCTGACTCGCAGGGTTTCTCTTTCAGCTTGTAGCCTGAGGTGTCAAGTGTGCTCTGGGGAGCTGCTGCAAAAAATCCATTATTAGTAGTCCATCAGAAATTACGGAGAGCGTGTAGCATACACAGTTTTGGTTATACCCACATAGTGATAAACTGGTCCTAGACCCCGTAATTAGAACAGAGTCCAAAGGACTTCTCTGACCCCTGTTCAGAAGACAGGTTACCATCCCATAATAAGACCAGAACACTGAGGCAAATAAAAGACGTTATTCTGACACTAACTAATAAAAGGCTCCCAGTTAAGTGACTGATTAATTCCTTGACTCTTTTTGATGTCCCTTAACAATTCTAATTTTCAAAAGCACAAAAAAAAGGTGAGTGAAAAGCCTGGGAAGGCTTCACTAATTTTTGTCTGTAAGAGGCAACAATTCCTACCTCTCTTAGAAAGGCAAGTTCTTTAGAACAATTAATATTTTTGTTAATATACACTCCATTTGTTAATGTATATTCCAAGAAGAGAATATCAGCTTGAACCTATGTCTCAGTGGAAATTACGTGAAATTTGAAATGGAAGTGACTCAAGAGACTGTCAGCTGTAATTGCTATTTTTAAACACTGGTGCACTTAATAATAAGATGAAAGAAGAAATAAAGAGTCTGTGGTCGAGATGCCAAAGTACAGTCAAGGACAATTTATGGATTGACATTATTATTTGAAGCAGAAAAAAGAAAGACTCCAACACAAACTATTCTTAGCAATCTGCAAATATTCAGAATAAAACGAAGTTCAAGTAGAGTTGATTTTTTTTTGCTGGAATTAATATTTGTAAAAGTGATTCAGATGAAAGGCAATAGATATGAATAGAACCTAAATGGAATAAACCAACTTCAACTAAAGTTAGCCCATAAAAACAAAGGTCAGACTTCACTGTGCTACAACAGCTATTACTGCCTGTAATAATACAGAGGTTAATTGCTAGAAGCAAAGCCAAATGAACAAAGAGACCAAAAATCTGATGAAATACACAAAGAAAGCCAAAGTTAACAGTACTAAGAAATTAAATTTAAGTAAAAAATTCCACCACTAGTCTGTCACTCTCTTTGTCTTTCTTTGTCACAAGCTCTTTGTCAGTCCTCATTTACTGGGTTTGCAAAAACTGTCATGTAAACTGGCAATAAATATTTTAATTTACACAGACTTCTCCAATTTAGTTTAGAGTTGTATTTATTTTGAGTGAGGTGATATGTCAGGGTATGACTTCCAATGTGATTTATGGAGTCTGGGAAAGAGTTTTCGTTTCATAAATACAACCAAAACCAATCTGATTTCAGCTGTATTAGCTCAGATGTGTAACTGATATGTTTGTTTGAATTTATGTCCTTTTGGATAACCCAACTGAAAGAGAGTTCATTTTAGCACAATAACACAGGTGACTTGACAGTAATGTTAAATATGATAAAGGAAGTGAATAATTTCACTACCCAGAACTTTTATGTTAAGAGTTGCTTGAAACCAACAGCAAGCCAACAATGAAATACGATTCTAGAAAACCAGTCGGATCTTGGGTACTTATAAAATCATCTTCATCATAAGGGGGATGTTTACATGAAAGAACTTACTTATCTGCAACTCAAACATACTCAATAGAAGAATGAACCTCTGGGATGGCAGAAAAAGAGAGCAATAAAGTAGTTGATATAAAAAATACCAGCACATTACAGGAATTAGCAGTAGCAGCAATGAGGGTGTTTAGAGCAAGGAGAACAGTAGTGTATGTGTCATACAAACACAGAGTAAAGAGTATACACAAGGCCTCTCTGTTGATCAGAACATTTTCTTCAAGTATGATAAAACAATGTAAGGACTCAAAAGATTAAACATGAGAGGGGAATCTGACCTAAGGTAGAAAGCTAAATTTACCCTCACCAAAACTCAGAGGGCAGCCATTGCATAGCACAAAGCAATCCTTCAGCCCAGCTGAGAAGGGGTTTGATGCTTAAATGGAGTCACTAGTGCAAAACATCTTGGCTGCATATTTCTATTTAATTATTTTTAATTTAAGTTTAGAGTGAAGTAATAATCCTATTGCTAGCTGAAGAGTTGAAAATAATTTTTTATGGTTTCTTGTTTCATTAGTTGTTTCATGTTTTTTCCAAATTACAAATCAGAGAGATCTGTATTGACAAGTTCCAGTTCAGTTGTAAATGGAGTAGAGGAGGATGCTGAGTTCAGATCTCCGCAGTATTGGTGCTCAGTAGTAGCATCACAAAGGGACACAGCAATTCAACTAAGTGACTTAATGACTTTGCGTCTTGTTAGAGTGGCAGACAGTTTATCCTAGCTGTCCAAACTACTGGATCAGGAATTCAATTTTTTTGAAAAGATCAATCTGACAGCTCAAATCCCATAATCACTGCTGAGTATACAGCACAGAATGTTGAAAATGTCATAATATTAAATCCTGGTTCCGTTAAATAATGCAGTTCCCCATTCTGGATCCCATGAAGTCTTTTCAATTATACCACAGAGATGTTTGCTCAGAAACCAACAATTTCACTGACATATTTGTGTTTTCCCTTAGCAAAATCTTCCCATCAAGGACTGTTGTACACTATCCAGCCTTCCTGAAAATGACCTAATCTGAAGCTGCATGGATATATAAAGGGCTATGTATAGGGCTATTGTTCTTGACCAAGGTTCTCTCCAGCTCAGGACTGAGCTTTCACTGGTTCTTTAGCTTGCAGCACATCTCTCCTCATAGTTTTGGTTAAGTATTGAGATGATATGGGCCTTCTGATAAACTAAAGATGTCATAGGAGCAGTTGCTTTTGTTGTTATTACTCACAAATTGTTCTTTTCAAGGTCAAAGCTAAGCCCATTGTACAAACAAACAAACAAACAAAAAGTATGATTTTGTTTTTTCCAGTCAAAGATACTTTTAGACTGAATCTTTGATGTGTTTTTGTATAATAGCCTTCTAAAATACTAAACTTTAGCTACAGAAGTAGGAAAATCAAATCATCCCTCCTTATTTAAGTTGGAAATCATCAGTGACAATGAGTTAATTCATTTACTCAAGGCAGTATCAAAGTTTGTCATATTGTCTCTTGCTCTAAAAAAACAAATCCCTACCAGTAAAATATCCCTCCAATATTATTATAGAATTATTTCATGTTATGCATATGCACCTACTCCACAAGCATGTGCAGCCTCATATGTAAAACCTTCAGAACCCAAGGGCTGTCTTGCAGAACCTTTGTAGCAAAAACAGAGGTTTTATAAATGCAATGAATACCAAAGGGAATTTCTGGTTAGTTTGATTACCAAATTTTTATTTGACACAACACTATCCTCCTGGCAGACTGATTTCCACTTGTTTCATGATGATCTGTCTCCATTTGCTCCTTTCTTTTGCCTACTGTAGCACACTTAATGCTATGCACCTGCTGAGCACCTTTCTTCAATATTTTTCCATTTTTTTATTCTCCATTTTCAATTCTCTGTGTAATTTCCAAAAAGTCTCCTGATAATTACATTTCCAAGCACATTTTTAAGCTATTTCTTGCAGACATTTATCCATGTGAATAAACCATTATGCTGATGAAATAATAACAATAATTACTAACACATGGATTACATATAGAGAAGAATCTAGGCCTTAGGGAAGATACTGAGCAAAGTGTGTACGGGTAACTTACCTGTCAAATAGTTCTCCACCTGTGACCAGTTCCAGAACAAGACTGATTTCTGTAGGGGTCTCAAATATCTCCTTCAGTTTTATCTGATAAAAGACAACAGAAAGTATTTATTTTGCTTATTTGTCTTCTTGCTGAGCATTTTCTGGGGGTCAACAGTAGGACACAGACCACAGCTGGTAAATCTAACTTGTTCTCTCCCACCTTTTTTTGTTTGGCTGGTTTTATCTCCTTTGCATTTTTTTTTCTTTTTCTTTCTTTTGGTTATTTTCTTACTCATACCTCAGTGATCTCTATGAAATACAGCAGTTTAAGAGGCTGTCTGCCAATTTTTCAAAGAAACTGAAGAGTAAAACCTTTCCTACCTTTCAAGGACTGACAACATCAACTTCCACTTTTATTTGCAGAACTTCTTTCACCTAGTTTCTCACTCATCTCCATAAGAACATCAATGTTTTATAATATATATAATATATATATTTTATATATATATAGTATAATATATATATAATATAACTCAACAGGCTTTCATAAAAAGCTGCTAGCATGCTCATGAAGAGAACCCAAAGCTTTAATCCGGGTCTATATTGATGAACCTGAACAGTCATCTCTCATGAATAGAAAGAATTTTAAAAAACAGAGAAACAAATGTGGAGTGAAAAAACAAGTCTAAACTTACAATGTTTGGATGTGAAAGACGGAGAAGAACTCCAATTTCTGTGCGGACAATTTTCTTGTCTACCTGGTTAAAATAGGGGAAGGAAAAATTGAAAAAAATTATTCCTATGTTCACCATAGAAACTTCTAACTGTATTACAGGAAAATATGTATGAATAGCATTTCTAGTTCTCCCAGGAGAACTGCTTGATGTGAGACACACAAGTCAAATAAGAGTAATTTTCCATTAATATGAGACAGAAAAACATCTGCATCTAGCAAAAAGATTTCAGATATACCTGTAAGTCATGCAAGAAGAATATAAGAAAGACATCTGGAAAAGGTGGTAGAATTCCTATTTGTACTCAGGTTCTGCCCTTGCCTATTGCTACTTATATTGGTGGTAACCGACCGCCAGCTGGATGCAGCCCCGTTCACCAGCACTCTCTGGGCCCGGCCCTCCAGCCAGTTCTTAACCCAGCACAGAGTGCCCCTGTCCAAGCCATGGGCTGCAGCTTTTCCAGGAGTATGCTGTGGGAGATGGTGTCAAAAGGCTTTACTAAGTCCAGATAGACACATCCACAGCCTTCCCCTCATCCAACAGGTGTGTCACCTGATCATAAAAGGAGATCAGGTTGGTCAGACAAGACCTGCCCTTCCTAAACCCGTGCTGGCTGGGTCTGATCCCTTGTCCATCCTGTAGCTGCTGTGTGATTGCACACAGGATGATCTGCTCCATAACCTTGCCAGGCACTGAGGTCGGCTGACAGGCCTGTAGTTTCCCGGGTCCTCCTTCCAGTCCTTTTTGTGGATCAGCGGGACATTCGCCAAATTCCAATCATCTGGGACCTCCCCAGAGAGCCAGGACTGTTGGTAAATGATGGAGAGTGGCTTGGCAAGCTCTTCTACCAGTTCTCTCATCAGCCTCGGGTGGATTCCATCTAGTCCCATGGATTTGTGAGGATCCAAGTGGCTCAGCAGGTTGCTAACTTATAAGCATCCTGGAAAATGGTCATTTAGATAGATTTTACAACAGAAATCAGGGAGCCCCTGGTGGTCTAGTGGTTAAGGGTGTGGCGCTGTCACCGTTGAGGCCCGGGTTTGATTCTTTGATTCCTGGTCAGGGCCACTCCTGGGCAGGTGGAGCTCGTTAGCCCTTAAAGGCAACCCATCTACATCCTGAGGACCTCGCTGCCACCGTCCAAGCTCGCTTGGCCCCAGCAGATGAACCTTAGGATTAAAGGGTGGGCTCAGTTCCGCGCACACTGTGTCTCACCTAAAAAATCCAATGCGCAGGCTGGAAGGTGTAAAGACCTTCCCCGGATCTTCCCTTGCGAAGACTGGCCATTATTATTTATTATTACAACAGAAATGAGCAGGTATAAGTGACATCAATTGTTCCAGAGTAAAAGCAGGACCATATTTAGTCATGGCATCTTATTACAGACAGCCTGTTTTATTACTTCTACTTTCTTACCTTCTCCTACACTAAATATAGATAGAGTTATATGAACACTTACCTTATTTCTGCTCCTTCCAAAAAAGTGTACCTACTATATCAGGGCTAAGCTTTCTTATTTTTAGTTTGGGTAGGAATATCAGCAATTCAACTACTTATTTTGTATTTTCCTATCATTATCCTATCAAATAATTTCCTGACAGAAATTATTTGCTAGGATGAGAGTTATGAATCTAACTCTAGAGTGTAAGTTGCTATAGTAACAAGTTTTAAAACTTAGATAATTTAATCAAAATATGATATTACCACAAATATTTGAGCAGGTTAAGTGTTTGGCTAGATCAAATGCAGTGGTCTAATCTGTGTAGATGTAATAACTGATCAAAATGAGGCTGCAAAACTGTTTATTTTGTCTCCTCCTCTTTCCTTATATTAAAATTACTCACAGAAGTGTCAGTGAGAACTTTGTGAGTATATTACAGTCAAGAATAATAGGGTAGAACTGATGTCTGTGAAGAAAAAATCCATCAAATGTTAACTTTCAAATATTTCACAGTTCCACTAGTTTAGTAATTATCCTTTCTATCCTTTATTCTTTGCTTTTAATCTATGCTAAATGGGCTAGAGTATGCTTTTGGTCAGACATTTCATCAGTATAATTTGGTTTCTATTTAAAAGACTACATTTCACTGTGTGAAAAATGCTAATTCTGTTGTATAAATGAATGGTTGGGTGATTTTAACATTGATGCAATTTTACTGAGTTGCATTTTTTGTTTGCAAACTGTAAATTGCAAACAATTAAGAGGCATTTGCTACTTTAGCCCTGTAGAGCACCAATTACTGAGAAATTCATGTCAATTTAAGAAGTCATTTGCCAGGTAATCCTGAAATAATCATTTATCAGCTCTTCACCACTGACCCTAGGCATGAAGATTTCACTGGGAGAAAGCAGCAGTCCAGAAACCCCATCCACGCTTTTAATTTATATTAAAGCATTTACTTTAAGGTAATCATTCCTGGATTGTTCGTAGTATTTTGTGTCTCCAGTTATTTCACTTCTCTTGAGTTATGCATTTATCCCCTTCATAGGTATGTATCTGCAAACACCATGTCTTTGAAATTTGATATTGGTCATTCAGTGACATAACCTTAGGTTTATAATCAATGTATTTCTAATTTATGAATTTCAGATTATTTTGACAAAGGAAAGGACTAGAAAATCCCTAATGAAAGCTGAGATTCTTTCATGTTTCCATGCCCCAAATTGGTGAAATGGAGTGATGCTACAAACCACTGAGATGTAAAAGTGTTTTTTTTCTCTGAATTAAATGAAACAAGATGAAATGAACTTCCACTGTACATAGATTACCCCAGCTGCTGCCTTGCAATGTGGTACACCACCCTTAAAACCTGTGGCCAGTAGATGTACTCTGTACCCTCAGATTTAGTAGAGAGCAAGAAGAAGAGTACATTCCTCATCCCAGACGTTCAGTCCCTCTTTCCCCCAGGCAATGTGGACATGGAGGGGCACATTTGCCCAGGTGTGACCACCATATAGGCTGGGTGACAACACAGTGCCCAGGCAAGGAGTGTGAAGAAACCAATGCAAAGAGCTTTCAAGGAGCTTCACAGGACTGTCCACCCCAGGGAGCATGTTAACCCCAGCTCTGCACAACTCCTTAATTAATATCCTGCCTCTTGACTCACACGAACATCTCTAATATGAGTAATGAATTCTTTATTGAGCCACAGGTCAGGCTCTGAGTATGTGTTTCTTTGCACTTACAGGGGGCATGAGGCAAATCATTATCGGCTTGCCACCAAACTATTAAAAGTGCTTCCAAGAAACACCGTTTATGTTCATCTCAGTTAAAGTAACTGCTCTGAAGCCTAACCCTTTCTGTATTTTTTGGCATCAGTTGTTAATTACCATTTATAACTTCACTATTATTTTGCCTTCTCACAGTTAAGCTGAAATATTAAAACTTACAAAGACACACACTACACACAAACAGAGCTCTCGATTCCCTGGTAGTCTAAAAGGTCTGTTCCCAACTGTTAGAACTACACACAGGACTGCTGGTTACTTGGCTAGTCTTGAAAGGTTTGAAGAAAAAAAGAAATAGGCTTGAATTTAAAGACTGAATTTAAATAAATCTGCACAAGAAGAATACTCAAAATACAGTTTAAAGTCTTGCTTTTTAACTTCAGAATGTTCTGAATAACAGGAATTCCAGTTTCTGCCCTGTTTATACAAGGCATATCCTCTCACACAGTCTTTCATTCAGGACTTCAAGGATAAAACACTCTAAAGAAGACTTCTGAATGTGCTTTTACATCTTTATAAAGCTGGGTAGTATATTGAAAGCATCTGAGCTGGTTTATGTATCAGTGGAAGATACAGAAGGCAGTCTTCACCAGAAGTGATAAAGAATCTTGGAGGCTACAAAAAGTGATATGGCATAAGAATCCCAGAACAAATGAAAATAGAGGCTTATATGTGACTCAGTCTGAGTTACTCTGGTGTAATTCAGTAACCAACATGGCAATGGACAGTAGGTAAAAGCAGAATTAAAAAAAGCTGACCCTTATGAATGAAAGGATGCTTCATTGCTCCAACTAGGACATTTACTTAGCAGTTTCTTCAGATGATTTCACTTATTTTCTGAACTTCTTTTGAATGAAAATAATAGTTTCTCAAGTAAAGAACTCCTCCCATATTTTAGAGGCTATTCTTGCTGGGACATTGTTTGAACTTCTTAGCAAGGTGTGCAGCTCTCTCTTGTGTGGGAACAACCTTTGTACTTCTAATGAACAGATATTATCCTTACAAAAAAAAAAAAAGTTCAAAATAATCTTTTCGTATTTTAAGCTCGTCAGACTATTTTGGCTCAGTCATAATTCAAGTTTAACATGAGGTACCTGAAAAACACAATAAACAATACAATAAAGCACAACAGCAATTGCACAGCCTTGTCGTATCCTCCATAAACTCCACAGGGAGTTTTCATGATGTAGGTGTACTGGTTTTGGCTGGGACAGAATTAATTTTCTTCACAGTGGCCTAACACAGGGTTGTGTTTTAAAGTTGTGCTGGAAAGAGTGTGAATAACTCAGGGATGTATTTGTGATTGCTGAGCTGGACTTACACAAAGCCAAGGGCTTTTCTGATACTCACTCCAAACCACCTTCAGGCTGTGGGTGTACAGGAAGTTGGGAGTGGACACAGCCAGGACAGCTGACCCCAATGGACTAAAGGGATATTCCAGACCACAAGACTCCATGCTCAGTACGTAAAACTGGGGGAAGAAGAAGGAAATGGGGGGCCATTCAGAGTCCTCCCGAGACACTGTTACACATGATGGAGCTTTGCTTTTCTGGGGATGGCTGAACACCTGCCTGCCCTTGGGACACAGTGAATGAATTCCTTGTTTTGCTTCACATGTGTGTGCAGCTTTTGCTTTCCCTATTAAACTGCCTGTATCTCAACGATGAACTTTCTCACTTTTACTCTTCTGATTCTCTCCCCATCCTGCTGGGGATGAGTGAGTGAGTGGCTGTGTGGTGTTTAAGTTACTGTCTAGATTTAAACAACAACAGGACGTTATTGAGAAATTTTATTTT